AGGATTGTTTCTTTTTGTTCTAGGAGTTTTAAAGCCAGCCACATCCTCATTTCTGGTGATGGCCTGGTGACCCTCTCTGGCCTGTCCCATCTGCATAGTTTGGTTAAGCACGGACAGAGGCATAGGGCTGTCTTTGATTTCCCACAATTCAGCACCTCAGTGCAGCCGTGGCTGAGTCCAGAACTACTGAGACAGGTCAGGTGTGGCTGTTGCATTGGGTTGTCTGTGCGTCTCAAATGTCTTTGAGTTTGACTAAAGGACAGTTCTGTCCTTTTCTTGTTGTTTTGTTTTTTGGTGAATGGCTGCCACAAGACCTTTTCTCTCCTCAAAATTGTGTTAGGAACTTTCAATTGTGAAAGCATCTTTTAGGTAGACCTTGATTTTGTATAGGGTTCTTTTTCCATTGTTCACCATCCTTTATCAAGAGGACACCTGCATCTCACCCTTGCTATTTGTACTAAGGCCTTCAAATTGTGTTTGCAGGATTTACATGGATATAATGTGAAGTCAGATATTTACAGTGTTGGGATCACAGCATGTGAATTAGCCAGTGGGCAGGTACCTTTCCAGGACATGCATAGGACTCAGGTAATACTTCTGAACTCCCTGCACTTCACTGATAGCTTTCTTAGGTCTAGATAGCTTCCACTGAGCATGTTTGTTGCAGACTCTAGAAATTTTCTATCATTTTTGTCTAAATGTTTTACCTCTAACGCATATAAGCATGTTTTCCTTTCTCCTAGATGTTATTACAGAAACTGAAAGGTCCTCCATATAGCCCACTGGATATCAGTATTTTTCCACAGTCAGACTCTAGAATGAGAAATTCCCAGTCAGGAGTAGACTCTGGGATTGGAGAGAGCGTGCTTGTCTCGACCGGAACTCACACAGTCAACAGTGACCGGCTCCACACACCATCCACAAAAACATTCTCTCCTGCCTTTTTTAGCCTGGTGCAGCTGTGTTTGCAGCAAGATCCCGAGAAAAGGTAATATTGGTCACCTCTAAATAGCAGAAACCATATGTGCTTTATATCTTAGAGTTTTGTGATATTACCCTTCCCATAAAACATACATCTTTTGATCAGAAACTTAAATCTAGAGACTGTCAGTACTAAGAACAAGTCAGTGATAAGGATGAAGAACACTTGAGTTCAAAATCACAGGAGTTGGCTTCGTTAGTAGCCGATACCCGGCCCATCCATTCCACCTTCAAATCAGCTGCTCTTAGTGTATCTATGTGAAAGCACTTGTAGAAACTTCTAAGCAGTATAAAATGGTTTTGCCACCATTATACTAGTATAAACTAGGATTTTAAGTACTGATATGCTAGCATTAGCATTTTAGAAATAAAATATGGAATCTTAGATTTTTTAGAACCTTCATCCTGCTATAGTTCCTTATAAATAGTATGTCTATAATAAAAGTTGAGTATGGGCTAATTTAAGGTTTTTCTAGAATTATTTCTTCCCATCAGTCAAGGGTATTGCTAGTAATTACTCCTAATCTATGTCCTTTTTTCTTTATAACTTTTTATATTTAGTTTTATAGTAAACCTCATTTCTAATGTAATTATATACCTAAAAGAAATATAAATTCTAATATTAGGTATTGTTTTCTAATAACTTTTTCAAAACTTTCAGGCCATCTGCAAGCAGTTTATTGTCCCATGTATTCTTCAAGCAGGTGAGCTGGTCTGTTGTCCATTGTCTTAAATATTTTAAAATGTTACTTTTAAAAACATTATTTTGTTGACTTCATAGAGTTTTACTAACTCTATAAAATAGAGTTAAAGCAAGAAAACATTTTAATAGTTTAATTTTGGATTTACTTTATTGTGTGTACACTTGGGTGTTATGCTCATGGGGTCGGCTCAAGGTGTCAGAGTACAACTTGCAAAAGATTTTCTCATTCCACTGTGTGGACACAGGTCTTAGGTATCGGGACAAATGCCTTTAGAACCTTTACCCACTTAGCCATCTGACGGCCCTAATGATAGACTGAAAGATTATTATTCTTCAAAACCAGATGAGTAAATACACACTCTATTTTCATTAACTTAAAACTGGTGACTGACTTACCTAGAAATAATGACAGGGCAGAATATTCAGATTAAAAATTAGTTTATTTGGCTTTTAAGTATTTCTGTTTTCTGATTAACAGAACTGGAGGCATTTATAGGAAAAAGACCTAAAAATAATTTTAAAGTTTTATAATTTCTTTAAAAGTTATTTATAGCTAATAAAATTGGTGTTGAGTGTATGTGCCCGCATCACTGTTTTAAGTTTCTTTGGCAGATGAAAGAAGAAAGCCAGGATTCCATACTCTCCCTGTTGCCACCTGCTTATAACCGGCCATCAGTGGCACTGCCACCAGTGTCTCCATGCAGTGAGCTGGAATGCGAGTTTCCTGATGACAGAGACGCAGACTGGGAATTCTAGGGTTGCCAAATCATTTCATGTCCTCTATACTTGATAGCTTCTCCGTGCTGCTTTTCTTCTGTATTGTTAGGTACAAATGCCAGATCTATACTTGAAAATACAGTTGGTGCACTGGAGATGATCAGTTAAAACCACTCTGTTCATGGATATGGTTTCACCCTCTGCTCAGATCAGAGTATCTTCCTGACTTCAACATCAGAATTAGACAGTTAGTGTCATTCCCCCCCCTCCACCTTTTTTTTCCTTTTCTTGAAGCTGTGACTGGTATATTCTGGATCTCAGTGTAATTTTTGAGCCAGCTAGTTTTCTTCTACATTTTGCAGTCCTCTGGGGAATGAGCCCTTACTCTGAGGACAGTGATTCCAAGGACATCTTTTCTTCCAGATTCTCTAGCCTTTTTGATTAGCTATTGTTAGATGAACAGGCTGGTTTATTCTGGTACAAAGCCCCTTTTTGGAGAGGGGAAAATGTTTGTACTATCCCTTTTACATATGATAATATCAAACTGAGCCTTGTTCACATTAAATAATTCACTTAAAATATAAAGAGAAGATGCAATTTGCATTTTAAAGGGAGAGGCCTAAAGAAACACTTTTCTACCTGTGTAAATTATAGAGCCTTAAATCATGCACCCTGTGGGAGCTCAATAAAAATTGATTAAATTGAACATATCTTTTACTTATTCTGTGTGACTTAACAAAGCTAGAACACTGGTTCTAATTTAGTTTGCTAAGAGAAGGTCTTGCAAACATAAGAAGCTAGGTAATCTTAAGTAGATTTTAGGGACAGACGGCATTCTGGTGTTTCATATGATTATTTCTGTAGTTGTTACTGGTATTACCTCTTTAGCAGGAGATGTTGTATTATCACTTTTTTGTTGCTGTGATAAAATTCCATGATCAAAAGTGACTTAAGAAAGCATTGCAGAGAGCTAGTTGTCCATAATGACAAGGAAGGCATGGCATCAGGAGCAGAAAGCTAAGAGGTCACATTTCATCTACACACAGGAAAAGCGAGTGAACTGCAAGTGGGACAAGACTATAAACTTTCCAAACACCCCCAGTAACATACTTCGTCCAACAAGGCTCAGAATGCTAAAAATGCCATAACCTCCTCAAATAGCATCACCAACACCAACTAAGTGTCCAGATACATGAACCTACAGGGCACTTTTTCATCCAGACTAGCACACTGTCTCAAAAATAGTTTGTAGTTTAAGTTGTAATAAACTGGGGTCTATGTCTATTGGTTTTCTTAATCTAAATGACTATATACATTAGAAGTGACTATATTACATTGGAAGTTATTATGATTGCCTAAGACTAAATAGACAAGCAGCTTGAAGAAATTCCGTTTATGTTTGCTAGCTACACCCCTGGCTGGAGAATGAATGTTAGGGCTAAGAATGAATGAGTGAATGTTAGGCAGCCACCAAGACCTGCCAAGGCAGAAAGTGAAGGTGAGAGAGTGGGCAGTGGAAGGGAGAGGAGAGGGCCACAGAGGCACTGAGAACAGCTGCCATAGTGGGAGTTGTAGTTTATCCCACTTAATGCCTTAGCAATCTGGGAAGGTCCTGCATGTGTAACCTGTCAGAAGTGGATGGGGTTGTCATGAAATGTTGCCTGGCAGCAATCCCTCTGTAGGTATATTAGGAATCAGAATGTGTTTGTGTGTACATATAAAATGTGATATCCACACATAGGTAAACATTTAAAGAATTGACTCACAAAATTATGGAGGCTGACAAGCCGCAAGGTCTGCCAAGTGAGCTAATAAACAAAAGTTCTAGTCCAAAGGCTTAAGCTCTCAGACAAGACAGTGCTGAGTGTGAGTCCAGTGGCTGTGAAGAGCTGAACCCAGTTCAGAGTCAGACAGGAGGATCTTACTGGGGGGATGTTAGAATTTTTGTGGTATAGAAAACTTCAGAGGTTTCCATGGTGAAATGTTTTAGAAACACTGCTAGTAAGTGACGATGCTGTCATAATTTTAATGAGGTGTAGGAATTTGAGATTTCCTTCTAGGAAATGTATTTAGCAAAGCCAGACCTGTGGTGATCCTCTTTACTGTAGATCAGTTACCTGCCACCACTCAATTTATGTCTTAGCTATCCTCTGACTCACTGCAACTGCATTTCTCACAAATGCCTTATTCCTCTGGCATCTGGGGCAGAAACAGCCAAAATCTTTTGTTGTTGTTGTTTTGTTTTAACTGATGGTGGGGAGGACATTCTCACAGTTGACCTTGCTCCTGATACTCTTGGCTGCAGCTGTTCCTTCATTTTCTGATGTCTTTAAGACTGGTAACACTTCCTTTCTGAGTGGTGGGAACACTAGTTTTTGATAGCTCTAGGATTTTCCCCCTGTACCTTTTGGCTTCTTAGCCTGGATCCATCACTCAATAAAATAAGTCCTTGCATTCCTTCTATTGGCTCAGAGAAGTGTAGACTGTTGACTTTGGGAATTTAACTGGAGCTAAGTAAAGTTTAGTTGCTAAGCACAGACAGCTGCAAATGGAGAACTGGCAAACTGGGTGCCACAAGTGCTGGGGGAGTTAAAGACTAATTCACCCCAAAAGGGAAGAGCTGGGGTGCAAAATTTTGCAAATGAACACCAAATGTATATACATTTTTAAAGTTTGTTCTGGAAGGTTTATAAACAAAAACACGTTTACATAGAATGTGTTTATTTTTCATTTTAATCATAACAAAATGGTCTAACAAGATGAAATTTAGTTGCTGACTTGTATCACACACAAAGATAGATCTTCAAACCATTTTGTTAATGGAGAAATTATATTCTGACTGGTGGCCTCACATATCATTCTGCAGTGTCTAGCATCCGGATAATATCACAAATGAGTGGACGTTTTTCAATATTTTCTTTTAATTTCCTTTTGGGCCGAATTTTACGTATCTCATACTCTGGGGTAGTATCATGTATATGAACTAAGCCTGCTGAAACCATCCGAGGACTTGCAAATTTCCCGGGGACACTTTCTCTTCGTTTGTTAGGCTCTGGAGCAGTGTACGGTCGTGCACAGTGTTTTACCCGGTTATGGAAATCATCTGGACTCTTGCCTAAAAGTCTTGCTCTTGATTTTGAGTTTTTAGGATGCTTAACTGAGGGTATATGTAAATCTTCATATCTATCCAAACAATCCTAAATATTGAAACAAAACATCAAATTGGTAAGTTAGGCTTCTTAAAAATACATCTTAAGGTTATAAGAGCTAATGTTTATAGTACCAGCAGTTAAGAAGTGAATACCCTAGTGTTTTTTAGGTAGTCCCAATGCATGCTATGTACCCAATGCTTCCCATTAGATACTCCCTTAGAAATCAGGTGGTTTTTTTAAATTCTTACCTTTTTAGAGGACTTGCTGCTTCAAAATGGTGAAAGATATGAAACAGAAACCCAGACACACTTAAGGAACTGTCCTCTGGGGTCAGACTCAGGCAAAGCTGGCCAGCCTAATCTAGAGTTCTTCTATTCTAAAGCATCTTTCCCATAACCTCAAATATAAATTATAAACTTTGATGGTTTACTTTTATATCTTCTAAATTTTTATCAGTCTCTACAAGTTGCTTTAATAACCATCTTTATCAGTGTACATATATATATATATATACACATAGATACAGCATAACATTCAAGAATATGATTGTAATATTTGTATGGGATTGATTATCAGTACATAGTCCAAGATGGCCTCTTACTCTAAATCTTCTAGTCTCAGTCTCCAGATGGGTTATCAGGATGTTTACATTAGTAATTTACCAAGTGTGGTGGCTTAGGTCTGTAGTCCCATCACTCAGGGTAAAGGAAGGAGGGTTACCATGAGTTCAACATTACCAAAGTAACAAGAGGGGGAAAGTAACAGTTCTCTTCTTGGCAGATTTTTTGGCTATATTTTAATATGAAGGTCTATATGTACTCCCTAAAAGGGTATGGAGCTATTAGCCATATAGCCGTGTTTATTCACATAGTAGTTCATCCCATTTGGGGGAGAGGGGTGTGACAGCCACTCACAGGAATGGCTGTTTTGATGGGAGGTAAGGCAGGAGTGGACTAGGTCAATTGTAGTGTCATGAAGGTTGGGTAGGACTAATAAGAACCCGGATGACTAGAGAGATCCATAAAGGAAGTCTGCCCTAAGAGACTAAAAACCAATCCTACTCCCTTGAGTTTTTGCCTGGTTTGGAGATGGCAGAAAGACTTCCTCCCTCCCTCCCTCCCTCCCTCCCTCCCTCCCTCCCTCCCTCCCTCCCTCCCTCCCTCCCTCCCTCCCTCCTTCCCTTCCTTCCCTCCTTCCTTCTTCCTTTCCTCTCTCTTCTTTTTGAGAAAGAATTTTACATTCTAGCCCATACTAACCTGGAACCCACTGGCTTGGAACTCACTGTAGCCTAGGCTGGCCTAAACTTGAACTCATCTAGCCTTTGGAGTACAAGTGTTCTCTCCCATTCCCAGTGATTCTCTGCCCAAGCTGATTCTTGAGAGGCTCTGCTACATTAGTAATCACTAATGACTTCAGCTCCACAGCTGGTGACGAGGGCATCAGTGAAGGACATGAGAACCACACCACTGCTCAAAAGAAGTCCCTCCTATTCCTGGATTTTTTTTTAAAAAAAAGGATCTGCTGCTTCAAAAAGTGAAAAATATGCAATTAGAAGCAAAACTCTTAAGGAGCTGTCCTCCCGGAGTCAGCTCCCCACAACAGTTTTTCTCTCTTTTGATTGATTCATTTCAGGAGTTATTAGACTTCAGGAAATAGAAGGGCATCTGTGTGATCATTTGACAAAAACTCTAGTGCCATTTAATTCTCATGTCCATCAGAGATAAAAGTTTAGGAACACTTAGTCCTAATACAGGGGAATAACTATAAACTCCTCCCTTGCTCTTCCAGAAAGGGTTGTGAATGCTGGGGAGATGCAAGCGTTAGGACATGAGTTCATTCTCCAGAGTCCACATTAGAAAACAAACAAACAAACAAATAATCTGGGCATGGTAGTAAGCTCTTGGAATCCCAGGACTTGGAGAGAGAGAGGGATAAGAGGCTTCCTGAAGCTGGCTAACCAGCCAGCCAACCCACACAAATTGTCAAGTTCCAGTCCAATGAGAGACCCTGTCTCAAACGAAACCAAATCAAAAGACAAAAAGTGGATAGCATTAAGAAGCAACAGTCAGGATTGACCAACAATCAGGGTTGACATCTGGCATCCACAATATGTGCATGTGCATCTACCACACACACACACACACACACACACACACACACACAAAGGGTTATGAGATCACATATGCTTTTATACTGTTTGACATGAACACAGTTTCTTCATTTGGAAAAAAAAGTCTAAAGGAACTTGATAGTTTCTGTTTCTTCAGAGCTAAAACAATCTGTTCCTTTGAATATGCACATGCCTGTGCGTACACACATATACTAACTCAATACTAAATTATGATATAAACTCTTATCCTACCACTACAAAGATGTTAGAGTATTTATACTGTAGTAATATAGTAATATCTACCCTGCCACTATAAAGTTAATAGCTTGCTTTACTGTATAAAACAATCTCAAAGTATTCTGAAGTTAGATATATTTTCCCATTCAAAGGCAGACTTATGCACATCAAGTTATTAATCTAAGATCAATTTGAGGTCTTAACACTTTTCCAAATTGGGAATCATACCCATTATACAAATTAATGGAGAAGAGCCATGATCCAAAGAATCAAAATAAATGCCTTCTATTTCTAGGTTTTCTTGCTTTAGAATGTACACACAAAGCCTAGTAGCCAACTTAACGTCCTAATCATGGAACAGGAAGGGTTAAATTGGCAGGGGTGATGTTGGGAGAGTAGGGTAGAGAAGGAATGTGGGGACCTTTCTTAAAAAAATGTCACATGGAAACCTATCTGCTTCTATGAGTGTGTGTAATAGAGTTACCTTGTGACTGTACCTATAGTGGGATAGCTGCCCCTACTAGATGCCATAAATTAACAAATTAAAAGCCTCATGCCAGGAATGAGTTACTTCTTTTGAAGTTATTTACCAGTGAGGTCCTATAGACCCTCAAACATTACAGGCTATTGTCAATGTTATTGGTTATCCTCCAGAATTTAGTGATAAAACTATATTGCTGAAGATACCACAAGTCACAGAACATGGAGCTATCAGGCTGGCACTGGCTTGGGAGCTTCATTCCAATTAGCTAGGTATCATAGTACCTATTAGGAGGTACTATGCATGCTACTGGAGGGGGAAAATCATCATCAGTCATACCCAGCAGTGAACCTTGTAAGCTAAAACAGCATCTGCCTGGCAAGGCATGCCCACTGGTGCAAGAGCAACACAGACATCATGGGAGTAACCAATCATTTTCTACGTGAATTTAAATCCTACTTGATAGATAAAACCTATAGCTACATCCTTGTCGGGTCAAGAAGCTGTTATTATGCTAATAGTTACAGTTATGTCCGTAGATTAATGCATCTCTCAAACCTCATCAGAGAAGCTTCTGTACTGTAGGTGGTGATTCACACAGAGATCCACAATTGGCCGAGGTGTAGAGAGTAAGAGCCGGGTGCTGGTGGCACATGCCTTTAATCCCAGCACTCGGGAGGCAGAGGCAGGTGGATCTCTACAGAGCAAGTTCCAGGACAGCTAGGACTGTTACACACACACACACACACACACACACACACACACACACACACACACACACACACACATTCATTTAGAAAGCATACATATTCCAAGGCAAAATTATTACAAAACCCTGCCAAATCTTAAGAAAAGTATTATTACATGTATAGTTCTCCTTGCAGTCCAGTGAAGTAAAGTTCTTGGAACAGATTTCCGGAGATGAGGCCTTGTAGGAGGCAGTGTGGCTGGTAATATCCTAACTATCTTGTGAAATGACTTCTTTGGTTTGACGGTGTAATCTCTTTCTTTTCTTGTGTGTTTCATGTTTTCTCTCTTCAGTACTTCTGGGAAGAAGGATGACCTTGAGTTTTTCTCATTTCCTTTAAGTTTAAATGACTGTGAGTCTGAGATCCTGGCATATCTTTCATTGCAAGCTTCATATGGGTTTACATAAAGAGTTTCCATTTCATTTTTGAATTGTGCAAATGTTACCAAGTGTTTCTTGTTGTTATTGTTATTTTCTTTCCACCTCTGACAATACTGGTCTAATTTGGACTGTTCCCCACTCTCTGTGTTGACATAAATGAAAGTGTTAGCCCGCCAGGTAGGGAAGGAGAGTCTGTTTAAGTGTTCATTTTCTCTTGACATTTTGCAGGTAGGAAGTTTTAGATAGGGTGAAAATCCTGTATCGGGTTTTTCCTGAACAGTCAATTTACAAATGTTATTGTTCTCTCTCTGGTCAAGTGGCCTCACTTTTAGTGTCTTTTCAAAGAAAGGTTTTGATTGAATTGTTTTTGATCTACCATCCCAACTGTATAGCTCTTGAGTCTCTGCTTTGTAAACAGAGTTTTCTGCTTGAGGAAGTTGCATGAAACCGTGATCTTTCTTGTGTTTCTTAAGTAATAAATCTACAGGTCTTTCCAGTGACTTATTTAATGGATTTGCCTGGATATTTTTGTTGGGAGGAGGTTGTACTTTTACTAAATTTAGTGTTTTAATTTCCCTACTATAGACATGTTTATGGTCCCAAATTGCTGAGGTTTCTTTTAAATTGTGTGAGAAAGCGCTCCCCTTGTCTTGCTTTCTGGCCAGCTCTGCTTCTCCACGCATATCTTCCAGATATATTTGTAAAGTGGCATTTTGACCACTTTTTGGATATTTCATTTGCTCTTCTGAATCTTCCCTCATAAAATTACTTTCATCTTTAAAATGTAAATCTGGCTTTATGCATTTTAATGGCATGGGAGACGAAGTAAGTGAGTTAACTTGATGGTTGATCGTCCTTATTTGTCTTTCTGTCATTAGTCCTGATTTATGTAGTTTTTCTGTAAAGAGGACCTGGACGTATTTGCTCAAGTCAGCTTTTATACTTAGTGATTCATTTTCTGATAAAACCTTAAGACAGTTCTGTACAGAGTCATTTAAAGAGCAGTTCATGTTTATTTTAAGCCTTGAACCAAAACTCCCACTGGAAATGTCTTGCGCCAGACTATGCAAAGAGCTCTGGGTGCTCTTACTTCTCAGAGATGACATGCTGGTACATAGAGCCACACCATCTGTCTTGTTATCTAAATTGCTCTCTGAAAGATACTTCAAGAAATAATTTTGGAGAATTTCATTTAGAAAAGATCTAAGCTTTATCTCTAAATGTTTATCTATGAAATGATGGTTAAAATTATTTACAAAAGACATGATTTCTTTGACAGTTTCTGAATACTTTTCCTGAAAAGGGCTCTGCTCTTTTAGCCCCTCCTTCTCGTTCATCACAAAGAGGTTTCGGTGGATTTTTGGTAAGTCCTTCTTGGTGATGTGGCCGGTCTCTGAGAGCTTTTCTACAAGGTAATGCTGAATGTACTTGCTCAACTCAGACTTCAGATTTTTCACTTCCGACTCTGAGAGTTTTTCTAGAAACACACACAGCTTCGGATCCAAAATGGGCTTCCTGTCTACTTCGTCTGCCTTATTAGAATTCTCCTGATTTTTTTCCAAATGTTCTGTACCACGTGGTGAAGAATGTTGAATTGGTCTGTCAAGCTCTTTTTCTGGATGTTCTCTTCTTTCTGAGTTGAAAACATTGAAGATATTTTTTAGGAAGGATTTTAACATCACTGTGTCGGGGTCTTTAAGTCTGTCCAGTAAGCTACTTAAAGTCTCTAAAGTGGAACTTGGCCCAGCCTCCTCTGTGTCCAGACTCTGGTGTTCATTTGGTAAGACTGACTTTTTGTCTGCTCTTGGATATTTTGACTCTTGTGCTGACATACCTTGCCTGTCTTCTGTGTAATCAGCTCCATTCATAAATGTGTCAGTGGGATTAGAGTTAGGTGTATTCTGTCTTGCAAGCAGTTTTGTTTGTTTTTTGACATTATAGTGCTGCTCTGTGGGGTTCTGCAGATTCTCCTCAGGAGAGGCTGTCCGTATGTTCAACAAAGAGCTCTGGTTTTCTTTGTCTAGTTCTATCACTTTGATTATTCCAGATTCTAAGAGAGTTTCTACAGGAAATGATTGCATTATTTTGCCTATATCAGTTTTGGGCTGTGACAAAGGAACTTCCTTGCCTTTTTCTTCATAGTTACGAATCTGTGATGATGCACTTCTCTCCCAAGATGTGAACAGCTGATCCCATAAGGCCATCATCTGTGCCTCACTCAGTGGCTTCATTCCTGTCTCCAGCTTTGAGAGTGTGGGTCCAGTGAATATTTGCTTAATAATATAGTCATATACCCTACCACTTAAACCTGGGCTGGAACCTGACATTTCACTTACTAAATGTTTTGTTTTGAAACTACTCTTTCTGTTCTTTGGGAAATGTGTTTTAGCAGCCTCTAAGAGTCTGTCAGAGGTATCTTCTATGTCTGAAGATGTTCCTGACCCTCCTTCTGGAAGCAAATCTTGAGGAACCCTTTTAGTCACCGGACTTAAAAGAGCCTGTGAATTTAGAATGCCTTTCGGTGAAAGCCAGCTGTTTATATCTTGTACTTTTTCGAACACTCTGTCTTTCGTCCCACCTGGTTTAGAAAATAACTCATCCGAAAGGTCTTGCAGATTTTTACTTAAAATTGATTTGAGTACTATTGACTGTTTTAAATGCTCAATATCAGAGGTAAAATCTATTGAGCTTGGGGGATGGAATATGTCTACCTTTCTGGTCACTGACGATTGTCTTTGGTAGGTTGGTAAAGATACATTTGGTAGCTGTTCTTCTGACTCACTCTGCATATCTGAAGAGTCTTCTGTGAAGGGAGCAGGACCAACTACTAGTGTATCCACTGAAGCTGGAGTGTTTGTTGTGTTGGTAGTAATATCTGAATTGATAGTATGATTACTACTTAGAAATTTATTCTTACTATCTAAAGACTTCATTGAAATGATGCTAGACAACTTATTCTTAGGATCTGAAGACTTTGTTGAAATGGTACTAGGATCACGGGACAGCTTAATAAGATCTGAAGATTTATTTCCATTGATACTAGGCTGTGTTGAATTAGAACTAGGGCCACTGGATGGCCTCATATCTGAAAGCTTTGTTATATTAGAACTAGAGCCACTGGATAGTCTCATATCTGAAAGCTTTGCTGTATTAGAACTAGGGCCACTGGATGGCCTCATATCTGAAAGCTTTGTTATATTAGAACTAGAGCCACTAGATAGTCTCATATCTGAAGGCTGTGTTGTATTAGAACTAGGGCCACTGGATAGTCTCATATCTGAAGGCTGTGTTGTATTAGAACTAGAGCCACTGGATAGTCTCATATCTGAAGGCTGTGTTGTATTAGAACTAGGGCCACTGGATAGTCTCATATCTGAAAGCTTTGCTGTATTAGAACTAGGGCCACTGGATAGTCTCATATCTGAAGGCTTTGTTGTATTAGAACTAGGGCCACTGGATGGCCTCATATCTGAAAGCTGTGTTATATTAGAACTAGGGCCACTGGATAGCCTCATATCTGAAGGCTTTACTGTATTAGAACTAGGGCCACTGGATAGTCTCATATCTGAAGGCTTTGTTGTATTAGAACTAGGGCCACTGGATAGCCTCATATCTGAAGGCTTTACTGTATTAGAACTAGGGCCACTGGATAGTCTCATAACTGAAATCTTTGTTGTATGGGAGCTAGAACCACTAGATAGCCTTGAATCTGAAGGCTTTATTGTATTGGAACTAGAGCCACTGGATAGCCTTGACTCTGAAGGCTTTGTTATATTAGAACTAGGGCCACTGGATAGTTTCATATCTGAAGACTTTGTTATATTAGAACTAGGGCCACTGGATAGTTTCATATCTGAAGACTTTGTTATATTAGAACTAGGGCCACTGGATAGTCTCATATCTGAAGGCTGTGTTGTATTAGAACTAGGGCCACTGGATAGTCTCATAACTGAAGTCTTTGTTGTATGGGAGCTAGAGCCACTGGATAGCCTTGAATCTGAAGGCTTTGTTGTATGGAAACTAGAATCACTGGGTAGCATCACATCTGAAGGCTTTGTTGTATGGGAATTAGAATCACTGGACAGCCTCATATCTGAAGGCTTTGTTGTATTGAAACTAGGATCAGTTGACAGTTTATAATTGGAATCTGAAACCTTTGTGATGGTGATAACAGGATTACCACTTGCAAATATATTCTTTGTATTTGAAGTGTTTGCTGTATTGAGAGTAGGATCATGTGGCCACTTGTTCTTCCTGTCTGAAGTCATTGTTGTGGTGGTAGTATGGTCAGGAGGAAAGTTATTCTTGTTTACCATGTGGATTGTGATGAGGTTAGGATCTTCAGACCAGGTTGTATTAGATCCTGCAGACCTTGAATGTTCTGGGTAAGGAGGGTCTTGATCTTCATGCTCTGCAACCTCTGTACTTAAAGTTCTTGGATATATGTATGCATCTTGGTCTTTCTTCTTTCTGAATGACATTTTGTTGTTTATGTTCCTTAGAAAAGGATCAAGACCACCCTTGCTGAGTTTCTGAAAGTGCAATATAAAAGGAGAAAAGAAATTCCTTAGCATTTATTTAAAATTATAATGACTTTTCTAGTCAGATTTTGTAGAGCAAGCTGACAATTGATTCATTCTCCCATCTGTTTTATAAGGGGAGAGAAATCACCTTTATTTGAAAGTACTTCAAGTTTGAGTGAAAATAAATTTCTAGTGAAAAAAATTTAAATTCCTAATTCTAACACTATATCCTTAAGTTTTTTTGTTTTTGTTTTTTGGGTTTTGTTTTGTTTTTGCTACTTGGAATTTTTCTGGGGAGGCAGTGGGCAGTGGCATTGCTGGCTTTTAAATTTACTTTTTTTTTGCTTATTTATGTATTTATCTAGTTACTTTTGAGATAAGTTGTTTCCATGTTGTCCAGGCAGGCCTGGAACTCCCGGGTTTTCCTTACTCAACCTGTCTACAGTGAAACCTTTAACTACTTGAAAGCCACTTGTAAATAGTTCCCTTTAATGCTTAAATCTAGTTGTGTCTGCTGAGACAGTCAACAATCTTATCTGCCGTAAGTATTTACCAGTTAGTAATAATTTCAGAATTAGAAAATACATGCAATAAATGTCCATGGCATTATTCTTTAAAGACCACCTTAGTGTGTATATCATCTGCCTTTAAGACTGAGTTTCAACAATGAAGGCCTCTGCTTTGTCCTTGATATATCACAGTAGAATTGTGATTTTTGAGTAGGCAGAGATGGTTAAGAGAAGAATGTCAAACTCTCTGGCTTACAGTAAAATTTCAGTATAACAGCTCTACTAAATTGAGATCTATATAGTCAATCATTGAAGCAATTTTTAAGATGAAATGTGTCTATATTTAAATTTTTTAATTTATATGTGGTTGCTTGTGGAGGGCAGAAGATAGCTCGGATCTCTAGAGCTGTTACTATGGATGGTTGGGAGGCACCAGCTCTGGGTACCCAGAACCAACTCAGACCCTCTGAGAGAGCAGCAAGGACTTCACACCCTGCTGGAGTGCTATCTCAGCTGTTAAAGGGTTCATCTTCTACACTCTTATCTTCCGTCTCTTTGTGCAACTTCTACAGGGTGAGACTGAAAAAATGCAAAATCTGAAGTAATCAGCCTAATAATTCACTTCAACTCAGCTTGAAAGTGCATTTTAATAATTATAACTTATTATAATTACTTTTCAAATGTTAACAGATGCTCAGGTGACATATTAAGAATTTCCAGGGGCTTTTTTGTTTTGTTTTGTTTCTTAGAAACACATATTCCAAGTTTTCATTTTCAGATTGAAACTGATTAGCTCAAATGAGTTTAGAAATACCAATTTTTAAGGTAGTCAGGCATTTAGTAATTCTGGTTTGAGAAAAACATATAATACGTTATTTATGTATACTCAAATATATGTATATACATATACATGCATATGTAGTATTGGAGAAACCTAGTAATTGAATATAGTTTGTACCAGACTAGGGATAATAGGACTCACCGGATGTTTTGGTTTGAATTCTGTATATTCTGCTCTGAAAACTGGTGTAGTATACTCGTCTTGTGCAAAAGCCACCTTGTAAAAGAAGTTTTAATTTTAGACAACTTACAAAGATATTTTCCAAGATTATTTTACTTCAATAGTTCCTAAAGGTATAGATGTTGTTTAAAGCTAAATAAGAATTTTGTCTCATAATGACTTTGCTTTAGAGATTATCAAGTATGTAGTGACCTTCTTTATCTGGCTCTAAGTTTAATTTGTCAGATATAGTCACTCCTGTTTGCTTTTACATTCCATTTGATTGGAAGATCACTTAAATCTCAATCTTTTTAGTCTGTGCATGTCTTTGCAACTAGGTGAGTCTCTGGCAGACAGCAAACACTTAGATGTTGCTTTTCATTCATTCAGTCAGTCAGTCAGTCAGTCACTCTGTCTGTATCTTCTAATTAGAGTTAAGACAATTCACCTCTAAGCTTGTTGTTGAAATTCATGTACTAACTCTGGACTGGAGTTACAGGTATTTGCAGGGTTCTTCGATTAAAACTAGTGTTCATGATTGCATAAATGCTCTTAACCACTGAGCTATTTCTCCAACTTCCTCAAAATATTTCTTATTGAATTTTTGTGACTCTATTATTTTGTCATTCCTTAACTTAATTATTTTCAAACACCGAGCAACTACAGTAGACAAGGCACTCTCCTAAGTTCTAACAATGGGTAACATTTAAGTATAACCAACTTTAACATGCAGTATGTACATTTGACTTGGAAGACATCAAAGGGCTTTATGATGCTTGCTTTTAAACAATATATTTCATTACAAATGAGAAATGTTCATTTGACTAGAAAGTCTAAGGACTAGGCATTGTTGGTCGCAACCATTCCATGTAATTAGGACTCATCCATGACTCTCCATGTAGGCTCTCACAGGCATTCTCTCTTTACTAGGTAGAAAAACACCCACCACTAACTATTGACATAAAAGGATGAGGCTTTGAAACATCCCTTTTTGGTTGTGAACCTACCCTTTAACTGTTGAGCCATCCCTCCAGCCCTTTAAATATTCTCATATAAATTATATACTACCAGTTTGTCTTGATGATAAAATAAGAAAAGGGTCAAAGTATGTTAACTACTTGGATATTTTATAAAATAGCTTTGAGACAATGAGATTCTTTTTTTATATATAAAAAGAACCCTAGATGGTTTTAAAGCCAAGCATGAGCTGGGTGCACAGCTTAGTTGGTAGAGCTCTTTCCTGACATGTGTGAAGCCCTGTTCAATCCCCAGTATCACATACACAAAAAGAAGTAAACATAAAAAAGCATATATAGAAAAATCTAGAATACTGATGTCATCTTGGGAAGAAGAAATATCTTCTAAACAAGATATTAAAACTAGATATAAGCTAAAAACTGTAGAGGAAAAGCTGCTAAATTGGACACCATCAACCTTTAAACTAAAAACCATAAGTAAACATCACAGATAACAAAGCATTGTATTCTAGAATATAAAAATAATTTTACATGTAAATAAATAAGCATATAACTTTATTTGTAAACATTGATGACTATAAGCAGTCAAATGAGGATGACACACATATGAGAACTGTTCACTCTCAATAATCAAAAAATGAAATTTAAGTATTGGTAGAATATTATTGTTAGTAATGAAATGAACAAAACACTAAAATATGGGGGAGGATAATGGGTATTTTCCTACATTTGGGTACACATGTATGTTAGTACATCCGGTTTAAAGGATAATCTGCCAGTGTCTATGCTCATATTCTCAACTTGTGCTATATGCTCATATAGGGAATAGAAGTGTGCTTACCATTCAACAAATGCCTATAATGGTTCAAGTTCTTTGAAATTTCTTGAAATAGGTGCTAGCACATGGTATTAATTACCCAAAGTTTTATGATGGTGAAAATAGAAGAATAATGATTTGAATCTAGGAATTTCTGCCCAACTCCTTTGATAATTTTCACAAAGTCTGCCCAAGACTGGACCTACTGACATCCCTGGCTTGAGCTAAAATGGAGGAGTACATAAGGAAACCTTATAACATGGATAACTGCAGTGTGACCTTTACTGTGGGTTCCATGAACAACAGTATCTTTCAAGCTATCAGATGTTTTCAAAAATTTTAAGTGGAAGTAAACAATACACTAAAGGCAGTTTAACAGATATTAAAAGCAGAGATCCATAGTTAATGTACTTTTGAAGTTTGGAGAGGATTGTTTTCCATGGAGAAAAGATTACCCTTGAGATTCCAGCTCTAGTGATATCTTAACTGGAGACATAATGCCAGCAAGAAATGGAGTAGTAGCCATGGTTGGGTCTGCAAGGCATCCTCCTAGCTTTACTTGAAGGAACTGGTATCTTTTGACAAGATTTGCACCTGGACAGTTACCCATGGCCCTCAGTTTGCTGAAGACGCCCCCTCCCCGAGTTGTCTTCTGACCAGATATCATCCTTACCTTTCGGAGACGACCGACAGAGTAAGTAGGAGGTCTTTCCCAATATGGCCTTAGCTGGATGGACTGTAGTTCAAGAAAGGTGTCAGAAAATCAAGTTACAATCTCTTTAAAAGCAAAGGTGGGACAACTATGGCTGTTCAGGCCTTGAAGAGACACTTAGTACTTTTTTTTCTACTTAAAAAGGGACAACGAAGGGGGGTGATATGTGTTTAATTATTCATACTTAGACTGCATTTGTGATCAAAATATAAGTCTACTGTCATTTAAAGAACATTTAACTGCTTAGAAAATGAAAGACCAAAAGGCTAATAAAAGCGACACATGACCATAATTTTTGGTGACTTTTCTGCCTGTTTTATTGTTGTTTTGAGTATTACAAATATTTAGATAACCCAAAGAAGCAGCTGACCTGAAAAAGGGGGAGCTCTTCAATCCCAGACTGATGGCTGGGAGTCCAGCATGGAACTGATCCAGACCCCTGGTGTCAGTGAGGAGGCCTAGGCAATCCATAGGGCCTAGTAGATCAGTATTTATCCCTGGCGTAAAATGGACTTTGGGTGCCCATCCCACAATGAGAGATGTTCTCTCAGCCCGGACTTATGGGGGAGGGCCTAGGCCCTGCCCTGAACAAAATGACAGACTGTCAATGAAGGGCCTCACCCTCCCTGGGGAATGGAGTGGGGATGGGGGGGGGGCTGAAGGGAGTCGGTGGGAGGGCTTGGGAGGAGGAGAGGGAGAGAGAGCTGGGATTGACATGTGAAGCAACCTTCATTCAATGGCTGATGGAAGCAGAGGCAGATTCCCACAGCTAAGCACTGAGCTGAACTCAAGAAAGCCAGTAACAGAGAGGGAGGACTGATGACCAAAGGGATTAAGACTGGGCTGGTTTAACCCCCAGAAACAGCTGACCTGACAAGGTTTAGCTCTTGAATCCCAGGCTGATGCCTGGGAATCCAGCATGGGACTGATCAAGACCCCCTGAATGGGGGTGTCAGTGAGGAGGCCTAGGTAATCTATTGAGCCTTGGGCTCAGTATTCATCCCGAGTTTACAAATGGACTTTGGACTCCCATCCAACAATGTAAGTTGCACTCTCACCCTGAACTCTTGGGGGAGGGTCTAGGCCCTGCCCTGGATGAAATGACAGACTATGGACACCCCCAAGGAGGGCCTCACTCTCCCTGAGGAAATGAGGGGATAATGGGGGTGGGGGTTGGGAGGAGGGCACGGGAGGAAGGGAGGGAAAAGGAGAGGGACCTGGAACTGACTTGTGAAGCAACCTTGTTTCTAATTTAAATTTAAATTTAAAAATAGAAAATTAAAAAAAAAGAAAATAGAAGGAGTAAGGAAGGAGCACGGGATCAGCAGCAAGAGGAGGATAAGGGGGTGACAGAGGGTGAATGCGATTATTATAGATGTTAGTGCAAATATAATAAAACCCATCACTGCATATACTTAACATATGCTAATCATTTTTTATTCTAAGCATTTTGTTTATACTATACCATACCACACCATACCAATTTCTCTTTGTCATTACCAAATACTCTCTTTGTTGAGTAAATTTAAATTCCTACCCCTCCCAACCTTAAATGCATCCTGACCTTGGAGGCAGGATTTAGGATCCAGTCAATGCCAGTGTTTAAATGGAAGTTAGTTGAGCCATATTGTCAAGGTTTTAATTTAGGAAGGTGTCATTGAAAGGCGGCCACCTGGATGAGCTGGCTGTGGAAAGGGGCGCAGTCACTCCTTCCAAGTTCACATTTGTACTCCCGGCGTTGGTCTCAAAATAGAGCATTTCTTTAACACACCGTCCACTTTGGTTCATGAAAAACTCCCTTTTCAACTTAAAATTACTCCAAAGCTTCTTTTCCCAGAGAATTCTGAAGATTTTGCAGCTTGATTGTGAAGCTTAGCTGTTTAGGAATTTGTTCTAGAACTCTGAAATGTCTTCAATTTCTAAATCTGTTGCCCTGGTGATAGATTCTTTCAAACTTCTAAGTCTGGTGTATGTAAGTTGTCTCATAGACTGTCATTCGAATTTCTCTTGGTTTTATTTTAGTTGTGTGTGTGTGTGTGTGTGTGTGTGTGTGTGTGTAAATTTATCATCCTTAAGAAAGACATTTAAGGTAAGTTTTCTAATTAAAACATAGACTTTCTTAAGTTATAAGAAGTAATGGACAGCCTGTGTACCTCTTAATAGCATCCCCCAGTAGTGGCATCCAACACAATTGTTGTATAATTTTACAATGAAGACATCACCATTATAAAGATAAGACATAGACTATCCCACAAGAAATCCTTTCTATAGTCATATTTATTTCCTTCCTGCCTTCATGCACAACCATTAATCTAGTCATTTCGATATTGTACTATTTCAAGAATGTCACAAAATACAACCATAGAGCCTATAGTATTTGATAGTTGTCTATTTGTACTTAGCATAATTCTCAAAAATTCAAAAAAGTTACTTTATGTGTCAATAATTTGTCCCCTTTCACTGCTGACTATTGCTCCATGGTTTACTTATGAGTTGATGAACATCTAGTTGTTTCCAAGTTCAAGCTGTTAAGTAAGTTTGCTATGAACATGATTTCCCAGGCTTTTCTTCATAACATATAATTTAATTTTTGTAGGTTAAGTACCCAAGAATTCAATTAGTGGCAGGTACAGATCTAGTTTCTGTTTTTCATTTTTTAAGAGAAACTATTAATCTTTTTTAGGAGCAAGTATAAAATTTTCCACTATATTTTCCTCTACATTTCACTTGTATTTTGTTTCATTCTATTTTAAATTTTAGATGAGACTTAGGCTAAGATTTATTTAAATTTCTGTCTGTGAATGTCCAGTTGGCCCACAGTTGGAAAGGTCTCTTCTCTCCATTTCACTCCTTATGCATCATTATCAACCATTTCATTGTATCTGTGGGACTATTGCTGGCATTTTTAAAAACATTTCATTTATTAGATTTATTCACTTTACTTTTTGTTTGAGAGTTTGCCTTCATGTTTTTATGTGTACCATGTGTGTGCTTGGTGCTCAAGAGCTTAGATTGTACAAACCCCAGTCCTCTGCAAGAGCAGCCAGTGCTCTTCACCTCTAAGGCATCTCCCCAGCCCCACTGGCACGCTTATTATCTCCTGCTGATCTATGTGTCTGTTGTGCCTCCAAAATCATACTCTCTTGATTCTTCACTACATAATACAAAGTAATTATTCCTACATTGTTCCTTTTAAAGATTATTTTTGATATTCTGGAGTCTCTGTCTTTCTACATACGTTTTTGGAGTGATATTTTCTCTACAAAAGCTACAGTTTAGACAGAATTTGCATGAAGTTTTTGGAGCAGCTTGAAGAGAATACAGCTTAACTATGCTGCCCTCTCCAGTCAGGAGGACAGTAGGTCTCTATTTAGACATTCAATGTCCTTTACTATCACTTGTCATTTTCACTCTATTTTGTACATGTTTTGATATATTTATAAGTATTTTATCTTTTCTGAGTTATGTTATTGTACATTAATTTTCTTGTATGTTTTTGCTAGTATAAAGAAACACTATTGATTTTTTTGCATAATTAAATCTGTATTCATTAGCTTTCCTGCATTAACATACTAGCTTCCTTTTTTTTCTTTTTTCTTTTTTTTCTTTTGTAGGCTACCTGATGATTTCTATATGGACAATTTGTTTCTTCCTTTCTATTCTGTATGACTTTTATTTTCTTTTCTTGCCATGTTGCAATGGCCAAAATTTCTTGTACTCCACTAAAAGAGAACTATTAGCAAACACTTTGCCTTTTTTCTGATATTTGAGGGTAAACAGTATTTCACTGTTCAATATAATGTAATATGTGAACTTTTTAAAGAAAGTTACCTTTTATTACAAGTTTGTTCAGAGTTTTATATAATGGCTGGATGTCAAATCTTCTGAAAAGCCCCCCCTCATATCAGTCTGCATTATTTCATTCCAGTAATCTGACAACACACATTTCCTTAATACACATGAGACTACTTAGGCCGTCTACTTTGTCATTGTTGAGTAGGGAGTTTGTGCTTCATTCTGTGCTATGACATTCATTACTATCGCTATTAACTATACTTTTGGTCAGTGGCTGACCACATACATACATGACAGTGATCTCAAGATCATATTACCTAGTGTTGTCACAGTAGCCTTAATTTTTTTGTATGGTTTCGTATGGTTTATGGAATTTTACTATATAAGTGAAATTTCATTTCTCAGAATGCATACCAATCATTAAATGGTATGGAACTAAGTATCTTTAACGTCTCAAGGTGGGCAGGCAGGAGGTGGTTAACTGTATGTACTCTAGGATCAAATTCTGACATTCTTATGCAGTTTATCTAAAGTCTGCTTCCATGTCCTCACCTGTAATGAAAACCAATAGAAATTCCCACTTTGTGAGCATTAAGTAACAATAATGCTCATTAGCAACTTAGAGTATAATCTCATTGAATGTTAATTTCCAGGGCATGCTGCACAGTAGGGATTCCCATACAGGTACCATGAAGTGTGTCAACTTAATCACAGCTGACAGTGGAAAGACTGATGCCCAATCCAGGTCTTCTAACTTGGAATCTCAGCCTCCTGTAACAGCGTGATACCATACAGAGGCCATACCCTTCCTTCTGATAAAAGCACAGACTGTGGAGTCTGGGCTATTTTTAGATGCATGTGACATCTTAATGGCTTACTGGGACAACTGGTGTGAAGATTTGGGTCAGCAATGTTCTAAAGAATCGATGAGTGCAGACTTTACAGTGATTACTACGTTCTGTTGCAAGGAGTCCAATACATGTTCACCTCAAAGCTACTCCCTATGAAAGAGAATTAGTATGAAATGTCAAGCCAGTTAATCATTAAATACTGTGAGAACAAGCACTGATGTTTCCTTAGGGCTTGGAAATCTTCCCTGTGAGTATGGTTCTTCCCTTCCACAGGCAAATCTGAGACAGATCAAAATTTTCTTTCTCATTACTGTTCATCTAGACATTTCTTTCTTGTTTGATCCTTATTCTAAGCCACACAATTCCTGTTCTATTTCTGGAATACTTGTTGCTGTTAGCTTGACAATTTGTATAAAAAAGAAAAATCCAAATAGTGAACCTGAAGTATAAATGGGCCATTGGGATGAGCAAATGGCCCTTTCAAAAGTTCATATCATTGAAGATGGACTTTACACCTCCACTTCCTGGTCTGTGTTTTACTAGTTATGTGGCTTGCTTATAAAAATAGCAAGGCAGAAACATTGCATTAAACTGTAGGGCTTGCTAAACTCAATACGCCATTTATATTGCTTTATAAATTTATAATACATAAACTTATATATTTATTATAATATAATTATTATTTATATAAAATTTCCCTGAATACATACATGCATATTGAAGAGTATCAGTAAATATTAATTAACTCTAAATAATAAAGGTGACAACAATTTTTAAAGGATATATCCATCTACTTACAGTTTTCCCTTTTTGATTTGTATTTTCTTGTCCTAAGGGTTTATCAGGTACTACTAACACGTCTGAAAAAGAATGAAAAAAACCACACCAAAGTCATATAAATTGGCTGGCATTTGTACCATTTGAGAAGTAGGCTTTAGAAATATTGCTCTTGGCCATGAATAAAAGCACAGTGTCCAGAAGTCCAGGACTTGGACTCATGAGCTTCTACAACTAACCATTCGATGGGATGAGTAAGCCTGCCTCTTCTGGCCTTGTTTTGCCAATCTGCCAAGGGAGGAATGTTTCGTGATGTAATGTCTAAAATATCAAACACTATGCCTGGTGCATAGGAACGTGAATGCTATCGATATCCTTAATCATCATTAGCACCCTCTTCACCCTGGTCCCTGAATAGACCCTTACACTTGGGTCTTTGCCTAGTTACTCTATGATTTTCAATATTCCTGTTGGAATGTGTGTGGTAAGAAACAGAAGTTACATGTCACCATGCTCTGTACATGTCATGCATGTGAGAGGTTAACTTATAGTAAACGTTTATGTTAAGCATTTCCACTTTTAACTCTGGATCTTGGTGGCAGTTCAAAAATATTCATTAAAATTATCATTTTTACATTCCTAGTTGCCTTCTGTTGGTGGTATGTTAAATTCTAGGTATGTTATACAGAACTGTGCTTCATGGCTTGTTTAAAAGATGACTCATACACATCCTTTGGAGCTGTGTCCTGTTCTCTGACAAACATTTGGGCAATTTCCCATTGTTACTTTGATATCCATACCCAATTCTAGGCAGACAATCTACATTCTGGATACCTTTCATGAATAGTTTTTATTCCCTTAATTCAGTTTGTGATACGAGAGAAGTATGTTCTGCATAAACCAAGAAAATTGTAAAATGGGGAGTGAAATGAACATAAGTTCAATGAATTATACTGCTTGGCCAGAATGTGTGTGCACAAATGCCGGAGCTCAGAAGGGCTCAGTGAAAGGTGCTGAAAATAACTGGGCTAGCCTTGCACAGTGGCGCACACCTTTAATCCCAGCACTCAGGAGGCAGAGGCAGGCGGATCTCTGTGAGGTACAGGCCAGCCTGGTTTACATAATGAGTACCAGGACTCTCAGGGCTATCCTGTTGAGAGACTTTATCTAAAAAAAAAAGAAGAGAAAGAAAAGACAGTAATTGTCTAGCTCCTCACTTCTAATTTATCTACGCATGACCGTAATTGAAGGAAATTGATGAGGGTATCCTGTGAACTTTATTAAATAAACCCTTTAATGCACTAGATTTTATTTTATATAATGTAACTATGCAATGTGTATTTTTATATAATTTATTAGATTAATTGTAGAAGATTGGTCTGCATGAACAAGTTGAAATATAATGCGAAGTACAGCAAAACCACTTTTTTGTTGTTTTGTTT